CGTTTTCAGATTCACAAATTACTTCTTGAAAAAGTAGTACCTTATATTTATATTTAACATAAAGCCATTTGAGCAGGTGGAAACCTTACCACCCCGTAATGATCACGTTTACTAAATCAAAAATAGGTGTCTTTTATAACCGACAAGTAGTTAAAACTAAATAACAAACGAATCACCATAAAACACATGTGAGACAATGTATGTAAAAGGAACTTTTAATGAAATGATGTTAGTGACTTTTAGGCTTTAATCCACAAGTTTCATTAAAATTTTGTTCACAGAGTGAACTAATGGATTCCGGCTCAGTGGTCTATCGGTTAAGTGCTCTGGCGTGAGAATTGTAGGTTTCGGGTTCAAATATCGCGAAAGCGGGATCGTGGATGCCCACTGCTGAGGAATCCCATAATAGGACGAAGCAGCAGTCCAGTGCTTCCAGGTTTTCCATGGTGGTCTAGATTCAACTGACTCATGATCTCAACTATTAAAATCACTGTAATATCCACAAAATCCCTTCTGATAATGTCATTAACCTGAATAATACGGTATCCTATTACGCAACGCATAATAATTATTATTCAACTAAGAGCTCTACATTCATACTCCTATGATCATAAATTTTATACAACTAGGGACTGATTGCTTAAACCATAGATGAATTTCATGGAAAGATACTTTGAATTAGGTGATTGATAAGAGTCAACTATAGAGGAAAAAAAGAAAAATGACCTAGTTGTTTACTATCATAACTTTTCTTTTTATTTCGTGGAGTGATGGGAATATGAGTCTTAAACGAAGATACTCTCTAAGTAATGTCTACAAGCAATACTATCAGAATTTAGGAATCTTTTTAAAGAGAAAGCTGCTCTAGCATATCAAAAGTGTGGCATGATTCTAAGCATCAGATTAGCCCTAGAGACGAAATAGATTGTTATTGAGATTGGAAATAGGAATATTTGATATGAATCCAAAGATTTAGCATGTACTTGTTTCGTATGATGCAATGAATTTAGTGGTACTATTTAAGGAAATAAATTCAAACATTTGTATTGTGGTTTTCGCGCTTAACGTTTATATTATGTAATCATACATAATAAACAAGTATTAATTTTACTTATGATTTAATTCAATGAGAAATTTTAATGGTTGAGACTATGAATCAATTGAAGCTAGACCACAATGGAAGACCTGAAAGTACTGGACAACCGTTTCGTCCTATTATGGGATTACTCAGCAGTGCGCATCCGCGATCCCGCCTCACGAGATTCGAACGCGGAACCTATCATTTCTGCGCGCCAGCGCTTAACCTCTTGACCACTGAGCCAGCATCCGATGGTGTTACTGTCTAACTTCAACCGATCCATGAAATTGAGCGACACATCCACCAATGTCTTCAGTGAGTTACTATCTCACAAAAGACCTGGTTGAACCCCATTGGTCACTGTTTTTCACTAAAACTCCAAAAAATACCTCTTCAAGTTGAAGTTACACATTAAAACCGTTGATGCCGCCTCAGTGGTCTAGAAGTTAAGGGCTCGCACGCAAAACTGATAGGCTGTGGGTCCGTATCTCGTGAGGCGGGATCGCGGATGCGCTCTGCTGAGGAGTTCCACAATAGGACGAAACGGCTGCCCAATGATTCCAGGTTTTCCATGGTGGTCTGGCCTCAATTGATTAATGATCTCAACCATTAAAATCACTATAATATCCACAAAACCTTTTCTGACATTAATCAATGGGAAATGGCAAATATTTCTTCTGTTATGATGTGTGCTACTGATGTCGACAGATATAAGTAGTATGTATCATCAATTGAAAGTTAAATATCTGGAGGTAGAAGGTTGAGAAGATCAAAGAAACGAGAACGAGAACAAAGAACGATTTTTGTGGAAATGAAGGAACAATGAAGTCTGAGACAATCGATGGATATTTTCCAAATGAAGCATTTACTGTGTGATTCTCAGATTTTACTAAGATATTCTGTAATTTCATATTGAAATATATTTGATTGTTCCCACTTGTATCCTCGTTTACAATACTGCTACTTAAACATTCAATACTCTTCGATGATATCCAATTATATCACAGTGTTTGGTACATAAATAGAACAAACACATTAACAAAAGTGCAGGTTCTATAGTTTAACTCTAATCTTAAACATTATTAAAATTGAGATGGAAACAACGAGAAAATTACGTAACCAACAAACGTATTCACTTCTCAAACAAACAAAGTCATCCATTATGAAATACATTTCGATGCCTGATTTTTTTATCCGGAAGTGGATAATCAATTAACTCAGTTATATCATTCATAATATAATTGACTTGGAGATTATTTAATAAATCGATATGTCATACTTGCTTAGAAATAATTGCGTGAACTCTTTGAGATAATCAACAACCAGTATAGTCTAATTGTGTCATTATGTGGAATTTCCTATCGAAAGCATATCTTTTCACCTTTATGTTTTTCTCTATGCAAGGCCTAACCAACCATATAGCTGTTTAGTGTTTTTGTGCTTGTCAAGTAAATAATCAGTTGAGATGGTGGAGTTTTGTTCTCCTAGCTGGATTGTTTTGTCACAAAGCTTTTATCGTTATTCTGAGCGACATCATCATCAGAATAACGATGAAAGCTTCACGATGAAACAATCCAGCCCAGAGAACAAAACTCCACCAAAATAATTACTTGCGCATAGCTTTTTTATTAATGTTAATTAAACACACAAATAGGTCACTCAATTCAATCATGAATTCTGTACATTTTTCTGTATTAATAAAAATGTTGATTGTAATGTTTAAGAATAACACTTTGTGACAATAGAAACGATACTTTTATTACATGAAAACCCAACTCAACTGAAATCTAGTGAGCGATAGCATTTTCCGCAAAATTTTGAAGAAATATTACTGCGTAATAAAATTTCAGTCACTATACCGATTACCTGTCATGATTAGACTGCTTTGCAAACTATTCCAATTGTTTTTAATGGAAAATCATTACTCATATTCCATGAAAGATCTATCTACATTATATGGTGAGTCAGGTAGTTTGACATGATTTACACAAAACTATGCAAAACAATGTACGGCGAAGTTTTTACTTGATTTTAGCTACTATCCCGTTTTTAAAAGTAAAAAAAAATGTATGATAAAATAAAATATGTATGAGGTGGGCTTGGGTTTTACCTCACAAATTGATTTTTTTTAATTGTGAACACCTAGTTACATATTCACTAATACTTGATGAATACCCCACGGTTTAAGCAAGTTATCCTACCAAGTAACCGGACTCACTGATTTCAAGGAGAAAAACAAGTGTTCCCTACAACATCTCTGAAACTTTCTTATGTATTAATAAAAGCTTTATTAGCGGAAGGTACATGAATAGAATATCACTTTTTATTAATATTAATTAATAAGCAAAACTCATGCATAAGATCCTCGATTTACATTAAATTTTGATTATTTACTAATTCTATCATACTATTAGGATGTAAAATACCAGTTAACCTTTATTGTTCGCCTTGTCATTGATTTAATTTTGTTTTTTGACTATTTGGTCAATTTTCTGTGAAAATGATGGAAATAACTAAAAAACATGTAACAGAGCTTATAGGTACGAAAGAAACTTGAAAAGTGCATAACAACTTCTTGCTTAATACACACTAGAAACCTAGGTTTTGGTTCATTTTTATAAATAATAAGTGACTGCTCAGAATGCTGTTGTTTGTGAAATCACTGTTTACAAATGTATATGCATACGATATATATATGTATATATATATATATATAATTTCTTATTAACTTTCGATCGCGTGTTGGAAAATAATAAAACAGAGATTCAACTTAGGTCGGTTTATTAGTTCAATAACTTCCAGAATCCTCTACTGAAAACCCGCATTCTTGGAAAATTAATAAGGAGTCACATTTATTTAGTCCGATTCAAAAATATTAGTCTTGAGGGGGAAACCATGTTTACTTATAGCCTCTTAATGACCAAAAGCTATCAATAGTTTTAACATTATTCGACTTCAGTAAAGCTTTACACAAAGTTCTGTACAAGAGGTTGTTATCTTAGTTAATTGGCATTGGGATTTTAGGCGATTTACTTATGTGTATGAACGATCCCCTATTTGAAATTCAGAAAAGAGTAGAACTTAAATCTGGTTTTCTTAGAAAACTCTGCTAAGCGGATTGTCTCAATGTGCAGTTTTGATACCAGTACCACTGTCTCTGTATGTAAATAACTATCATCATTTAAACTTTCAGTCTTCACACATGCAGCCAAACACTTCTTAAAATGAGACAGCTAACTTTTGAAAAAAGGTTTAAAAAAACAGATAAGCTGATTTCCGGGATCTCCAAGCTTCTGTACATCGTTAGAATAGTTAAACTAAACATGTTCCCCCCACCATATGTAAATAATAAAGATAAATTGACCACGATTTTATGGCACGACTAAACTTGCATCGAACTTTTGTTCACTTTCATTATTTTTTTAAGAGGACTATTTCATAGAGACGCGGCAAAAATGTTCATGAACCCAGAAGCAATTACTCATAAGCTTACTACTGGTTTTCCTATCAAATCATCAACCGATGATAGTCCATAACTCGACACATCATTGAAGCTCCATCTGGTGAAACATTTAAAAGAAAGTTTGACCTAATAAGAAGCCCCTATTTCCTGGACTTATATAGAACACCGAGTCGCAGAAATCGAAACATCATATCCTTGTATATATTAAGTCATAGAGAACCTTTCAATATATATTTACTTTCCTAACGTGCCGCAACCGATCAAACATTCAGATACTCAAAATTATACCGTGTTTTGTGAAGACTTCTGCTAACTCAAAAAATGTTGACTGAAATCAACGGCAACAACGAAATATCTTCGTGATAAACATGAGTTAACTAAATCATTTCTTTCTTAAACTTTGAGAGGCACCATTGTTACAACGGTTTTATGTCCAGTACAAAAAACACTGAGACTTACCTATGGGATCAACATGGTCGAAATGATCAACGAAAGTTCTTCGATCCAAAAACAGTGACAACTAATGTAACATTATTCAGCACATCGTAAATTTACCTTTCCATCAGGAGTCGCCTTCTTTAAAACACTGAGTAACTTTAAAATAAGGTAATTTAATCTTACTCGAAGCAACGTGTTCCCGTTCCTCTAGACATAGTTTTGGTTGTGGCACGATAACAGAGTCATTATCGAAACGTTTAACTATGCTGAAAAACGTCAAGGTCGAATGCCTGTCTATTTAGCGATTACAACAACCGACAATAACTTCTTATGTCTCAAAATATGTGAACTAGCCCTCATTACTTAGACTAAATAGAAAGTCTCCTGTGAATATTTTCAATATTTCATTGTTTTTACTGAACGCTTGTCGCAGTATTTTATTTGACGTGTATGATAAATAAATCCCCAAAACTAATAGTTCTGTAAGTCTTTAACATTGGTGCTGATATTATTAGTTTTACTGATGCATCTGCACCAAAGCTCGGGTGGGCTACTCATGTCTTACATCCACTAGCAAGCTTAGACCAAACGCTCCTCAGCATATCAATAACATTTCAAAAATATTTTCCAACTCACGCATTCCTGGCTTCCGATTTGGTCTGTATGTTATTGTTTGATTATAGGCGTGTTACGAACATAAGGTATGGTCGAACCCTGAATATCTGTAGGATTATTAAACGTGTAATCTCTGTTAATATCACGTATATTAGCATAATTAGAACATTCGAAGTGTCCCTGTTAGTGTCTTTCGATAAGTGTGTAACAAAAACCTATTACAACCAACTCGACGTTTTTTTAAACAGCTACGGGTAAACGCTGGTTCCACAATTGGTGCGTCTGATGTTTTTCAAGGGTACAGCCATCAGTCCACGCCAGGCCCACTCCTGTAGAAATAACGTCTTGTCCAGTATAAGTGCACTTATCCATGCCACTCGAATTATTGATGTAACCTTATATCCTGGATTCTCTATTATATGAATACTCAGTACATAAGACCGTACATGGAAGTCACCTCATTGTCTATACTGACTCATACTTTCGAAACAGCCAGAAGTATGCTTTATATCAACCTTTAACAAGCTTATTTTGGGATGACTATAGAATGACATACTAAATATAAGGAGAAAGACTTTACCGCGAGTGATCATATCTGCATAACCTACCCACGCTTTCTCGACTAAGCGTTCGCATGTTAACCTTTTATTGTCTTCTTTAGATGTCCAATAACTAACGTGAATCTTCGACCTCATTGTATGCTCAGCTTCAAAGATTGTGTAGTTAGGAATCAATGACGATTCAGGCACACTTCAGGTTGACTCATATGGGACACGGGCCTGTGACTCATAGGATTTTTCGAGACCCCAATCTACGAGCTAGTTAAGAGTTGTTTCTGTCCACCATTGGTAACGAACGCTTTTTAGAAAAATGTTTTTTAGTAAAATACATTTATAATGGACCAGGTCGTTCAGCCGTACTCATCGTATTCAGGAAACAAAAGAAGAATACTCAAACGTCATCAGGTCTACAAAAACTGAACAATAACTAAAAATCACACTGAATTCCATCTGTAATCATGAGTATTCCTAAAAGTCAGAGGTTTGTGTCTTCGAACGTCGAGACATGGGTACAGGCATTTGAGGAAGTGAGCAACTGAGAAGAAAATAATCAAAAAGGTTGAACCATTCACCAATATGGTTTTATCATCATGCTCTAGAGATGGACTGTTATGATCCAAACGAGGCTTATGTATACGGTATCCAACAATGGCAGTTGCTGCCACGGAACCTTGGGGTTTGCAAACAGAACCAATTATTGTGTTCCGGTTTCTTTATCCATTATTGCTTTAGGATGACTGCTCCCCCACTTGGTGTCCAAAAACTTCAGAAGCCAAGGAAAGTCAACCGAGGTTCACTAGTCCAGTTTTCGCATAAGGCATAGAGTGAACGGTCATGTCTGCTGTTCGGCCCTGTATTTGAGGAATAAATATTGTGAGGACCGAGTTTGTCACTTGTATATGTTCTCGATGAGCTCTAAGGAGGATATAAAGTGACCTAATAGTGCTGAACAAAATCAACTTCGTATCGCCCACGAAAAATATATATTGAAACAACCCTCGCTACTGCATTTTACGATGTTACTCTCAACGGATCACACATGAAAAACCAAATACTCGAGCAAGGTCATGTGAATTTTGTCAGGAGCTGATGTTAATGGCTATTATGCTGCTTGCGATGAGTCTCTTTATGTTCGACAGTATAAAATTTCTCACAGTAGTGGTTTATAAACAGACAAGATCTTGCGAAATGCAATGTATCACAATGCTAGAATATATATAGGGGTTTCTAGACTTCTCTTTCGATGATTTATCGTGTAATGTGTATTTTTGATGTCTTGGAACCATGTCGCAATTCACTTTGAACTGCCTGAACGTCAAATTTATTTTGACCAACAGACAGGACTAGGTTAGTCTCGTGCCTGAGGTTTGTTAATGGTTGACATTCTCAAGCAACGTTTTAGGTGGCATCGTTAGGTCCTGATTAAGACTATGTAACGAGCGTGCGCGAATACCACCATATTTTTCAGATTGTGAACTACAAGTAGGTTTCAATGATTTGGATTGGTCTTCAGAAGACGTTTCCAGCTTGAACCACTCACACTCTCAGTTTACTATTTCAACATGTATGAGAAAATCGTCCTCTTCGTCCATTACTAGCTTCATGCATCAATATCGAGTATTAAAAATCTAAGATTGATAATCAAACATCTGTCTAAGCGAAATTATGGTGTCCGTAGAAGATTTTTAAGCGGATTTTAAGGCAATATAATGTAATATCTGTTAAGTTCTGTTGTGCAGAATTTTCGTAAAAGAATATGAACTTTGCAAGATCCTTCTTGGTCTCTGGAATCAACACTAAACATGTCTCCGTAAAAGCGAAAACAGGTGTCAAATGTTACACTTGAATATTGGTCATAACTAAACTCAGCAGTATTATTGATGACATTAACAAGCTTCGATTTTTATACGAAGGTATTGCGTTCTTAGTGATTTGGTTATTATATAAGTATCTCAATCAGTTTAAATTGTTGTTCCAGTAGGCGTTCAATCTATTCATAATCTCATTTTACAGCCATGCCCGTCGCCGATTGTTTTGTTTTGTTATTGGGGTTCAGGACGGCTGACGTTACAGACCTAGTTACAGACTTAGTTACTCTAATACAACCGGTTTTCTTCTGGACTGACAACCGTCAGTTGTATCCGATACATCAAACCCCGACGGCTAACGCAGTAAGATGGAACAGCAGGTGGCTTGACATGTAATAGGACTAGCGAACCAAACGAAATTAGTACGAGAGTTGTTGTAATGGTGGCAGGGATTGATCGGCTTTGAAACGTCGATTCAGCCGGCGTGATCACAGCGCTATGAGTTAACCCTTTAGAAAGAAAACCCACAAAGCTTACATTACATGTACGCCTTTATTTAGCCTGAAATAGTGATGAGCTGTTTTTTGTGACGAGCAAATGCTTTTTTTCCATTCCTGAGGCTAACCACATCTCCCCACGAGTATCAACGCGATAAATCAACGTAGTAATTCCCACGACCCTCTCTTTTCTCTGGTCACTTACACCTAACCGTCATTGAGAGCAACAACTACGCCTGCCCATGATCGACTGACCATAGAAGACGTCCACCAAAGGCTGAATGTTGTCCGAACAAAAATGGGAACAAAACAAACGGCGATTGTAACAAGGACACTTGTCCAATAATTCAACACGACTTCAAAATGTCAAATCCGATTATAATACAATCACTAAGTATCTGAAGCGTTTCAATTTTTATAAATTTAAAGAAAGTTCCCAGCACTCATCGATTGCATACTTTCAGGCTATTCAAGACAAGAATCATGGTCAATGACCATTCAATTAAGGCTGTCCGGAGAACAGAATGTGAAAAATGTTCTTTGGTTATTTTGTAATAATCCCAAACACAAGCAGAAGGCTGTTGCTACTGAACACATGATTTCTTGTTGGTTTTTAAGTGTTCGATCAGTTGACAGACTTACTAATTTACTATGAAAGCTTGTATTTCCTCTTCTCCTTTCTATCCTGATTTTAAAACCAGCCGGTTGACCGTTGTGCAACGTGATAGTTGCTGGTACTTACAACCTCATAACACCCGAAAAAATGCCATCATTATACTCAACACAGTTCCCGACAACCGTGAAATTCGCTCCAACTGGTGGAGCCGATTGAAGAGAACAATCACACTGCACGATACTCATAACTAGGAACCGTAATTTAACACCAGTAGTACAGCCCACAGGTACTACGTATCGAACACATTTATTTAAATATCAATCACCCCTCCAGACATGGAATTTCTGACTTATTCATAAAGCAACTCATCATAGACAGTTTACTTTCCTGGCTTATCATCATTATTCAAGATAAGAAAACGTTTTTCATATCTAAATACATGATCAAAAGTAATTAGTTTGTATTAGCTCGCAACAAAGATATTAAATCGTCGAAGCTCCAAGAGGGTAATTTAAATTGTTAGTGTTGCGGGCTTTTCGGACGTCTTCGTCCTTGTGTGTAAGAGTGATGTAACACGGTCGAACCCTAACCTGAGTTTTAAACGCAAGTGATACCATATAACTTTCAATAAAATTAGGCTCGTAGTAGTTTATTTCTGATTTTTGCCCTGCTCATTACCCGCGTTTGGGCACAAGATCATTTACACGTAAACTAAGTACTTCACTCGTTTACTGAATATTTACCAATCGTACCAAAGGTTTCACATGTAATAAACCTATGTTTATTCAGTTATTAGGAAGTAGCATGGTCCCAGATTGAAGCCTCGTGTCCAGAATGTAGCCTTTGATTTTGAATCCAAGGTGTTTTTGCTCAAATTAGAGCTAGTTAACTAGCTCAGAGTCTTGGGAATTCAGTGAATGTATTATCAGTATTTCTGTTTTCGCGCTTCAGTGATTCACCATCCGTCTTGGAGAAGCAGAGTTAAACTTAGAGATATGTAGTTGGTCCATGGGAATAGCATATAGAAAGAATAAATGAACAGTTTCATGTTGTATATTTGTGTAGAGTCGCTGTTGCTAATCTAGATCTTAGAATGTAAATCCCCGAAGGTTTTCGTCTAATGATAAATACTACATAAAAATCAAGGCTACAGTGCCACCAGAAAGCACCACTACAACAAAACACCTATTTTCTTTGTTGAGAATGAGATGAAAAGTATTTTCTAAATGCATTGAAACGAAATCCATAGTGCCTATAGTTAAATGTGTAGTCATCTGTTCTTAAACATCTACAGTAATTGGAAAAGGTGAAGACTACTATTATTTCCTCTATGTCGAGTAAAAGAATAAGTTCTGAATTATTACACTTTGCTGGTTTGTAAAAAAGCAGCGTTCTATTTACCTTCGTGCTAAGTATTCTGCTACTGTGGAGGTTTCAGTTTATTTTCTAACATCGATTTCAAAATCCCCAAAGGTGTGAAATCGAGTCAGAGGTTTCACGTAAGCTTATTATTACTTCCCATGTCTAAATATTAACCATATCCTCTCAACTAGGCTCGTCGAACAAGTGTCCCTCTCTTAACCAATGCTGTTCCTTGACCCAATTATCGTACCATATTACTGAATAATGTCTAAGGCGTTTGACTTCTGCCTACTAAGTCCCACGATAGAACCTCGTTCCAGTTGTTTCAGTTTGGGCAACCGAGTGGTTTCTACAGTCCTCATACTTGAAGTTTCGCTCATACCTAGGTACTTGGTCAATGAGTTAATTTGAAATTGAATACCATGTTATAGTTTGTAATACTCACGAAAAGATCGATTATATATATATATATATATATATATATATATATATATATAAGCTGCGCTATAGTCATTCGCCAAATACTTATACCTTGGTTGTAAATCTGGTTGATTACTCGATATTGGGCGTTTCATAGGTTTCAGATGGTCTAGCAATATCAAAAATATGGAGTTACAATTTTTAACACTTACCAAATATTTCCTAATGCTGTGTTTTCGTTACGAAACCTCGTCCTGATTACTTACCTACGCCTGTTGCCCATCGTGGAGGAGCATAGGCCACACACCAGTTTTCTCCATCCACTCCTGTCCAGGGCAATTTTTTCCAGTAGTCATTCATTCTTTTCATACCTGCTTCTATTTGTCGGCGTAATATGTTCTTCGGCCTTCCCCTTTTCCGATTATCTTCAGGATTCCAAGTTAGGGCTTGCCTCGTGATGCAGTTTGGTGATTTCCTCAATGTATGTCCGATCCACTTCCAACGTCTTTTCTTAATTTCCTGTTCAGGTGGAAGCTGGTTTGTCCTCTCCCATGAAACGCTGTTGCTGATAGTATCCGGCCAGTGAATGTTGAGTATTTTGCGTAGACAACTGTTTTTAAATACTTGTACCTTCTTGACGATGGATGTAGTAGTTCTCCATGTTTCAGCTCTGTACAGTAGGACTGTCTTGAGGTTCGTATTGAAGATTCTCACTTTGAAATTGGTTGACAGTTGTTTTGAATTCCATATGTTCTTCGATTGTAGAAATGCGGTCCTTGCTTTGCCAACCCTCGTCTTTACATCTGCATCAGATTCTCCTTGTCCTGATTACCAGTATAAAACTAAGCTACTAAGAGTGTGAAACTTCAAAATCGGCAGAACAGTATGTGTGTCCGAAAATACTCTCATGCGATTTAAATCTCAAAATAGGCAAAATATTCTTCCTCAGTACTTACATCAAAAACAATCAATCACTAATTTTTACTAAATTGGTAATAATTTCATTCGCAAAATTCATCAGCCTCTGCCAGGGAAGTCCTACTCACTGCCTTCTCACAGCATTACTGTTGTTTACAAAATCGAAAGGACGAAAATTGAATGTCCGGCGCTTTAACGGGGTTGGTGGATACGGAGAGTCCACCTAGGGGAGTTGGAAAAACCCTGATTCCAAACCAATGGTGCACATGGGCTGGCTCCGGTATCCTAAGGGAACAAATGGCGTATGAATCAATCGTCGGTCACTGGCTACCATGGGACTGCATCTCCTCACGATGCTCCACTGCCTTGTGGATCAGACCTTTAGATCAAAGGCTGGGTGTGTGGCTCCCTAAGAAAACCACCTGCTTCGGTTTGGGCAGGTGGGCAGTATCACAGTACTCAAACAAATCAAATGAGATCTGTGTGGCGAATGTATATCTGGTGCCTCTTTGTATCATTATTTATGTGTTTAAGTGAATAAATAATCTGGTTATTCATAAACTATTAAGCTGAGTAAAAGAGCATTGCAATAGGTAAATATTTATGTTGATGAGAGTTAGCACCATTTACCAGTCGCTGTAACGTTGGATATTGTAACAATAATAAGTCCTCTGGGGTTAGTGAGTCTTACTTCAGTTTCAGTATGTTAGTGAGGGAGAACTTACAATACGTTGTATACCTTTATGTGAAAACTTAGCAACATAAGCAGATGCTATTTAAATAATTGTATGTACCCAGTGTGAGCTTCATTATTCACTTGTTTATCACGTATAAAATAGGCTCTGGACAATTACTTTCCTACCTCACTAGATACCTTGAGGTGCGTAAGTTTCTACATGGAAATGAATCCCTTTCAAATATTTATTCCCGTTAAAATCATTGTTAATATAATTTATTTGCCAATTACATGTTCATATAATGCCTTAACCCTTCATATTTCAGATGAGAGTTATTTACATTACTCAGTTCATTAAATCAAAGAGGGTTTAATTGGACTTAAATCTGCTATCAAATGGTTGGTAGATAGAAGCTTTTAAACCTAAGCCGGTGGTTCACATTTTTTGTTAGTTTTATATGCTGTACATCATTTTCTAAGCCCTTACATAGTGTACTTTTGTTCATTTCTAAACAACTTGATACGTTCTCTGTTTCGAAGCTCAGTTAGTGGACAATTAGATCTTAATGAAATGAGCTTACATTTTAAGAGTGTAATTGATTTACTAAGGAGTTGACTGTTACTTTAATTATTTTTTAAACTTTTATACACGTTGCTATTTCCACCGAGCAACCATTATACTGAAGTTGATCATTCTCTTTTTTAGAATTCCGATGAAATTTCTATGCGTCTTGAGCATTCTTCTGTCCAATCCATCTTTTTTAATCATGGTGTATCCTCACTTTTGTTTGACATCCAGATACTTGCTCAAATCAGTTTAACAAATTTGATCCTATTATTTTTCATGATCAATTCTTCAGTAGATTCCGAAATGGACGATTTTGATGATAATGGAAATAGACTTGTCCGACGCAAATGGTGCCCATGGTCTTCATGGAGTCCATGCTCCCCAACTAAGTGCTTCAAAGGATTTGTAAATAAGAATCCTCCATATTGGTCAAATCGTGAAGAACTCCTTGTCGATGATGACACACAGATTACACACTGTGTTCTAATACCAAAAAATAGTACCAAAAAACCTAACCGAGCATATGTGCAACAGACAATACAAGGTCAACATAAAATTCTTATTCCCGAAAAACAGCGTTTTCGTACCTGTGATTGTCAGTCAGTCTCCTTACTGAATGTATTCCGTTTGGTTAGTCGGCATGAGTGTTTTCGTAAGTTTGATTTATTATATTCATTTTCGTATGATAAATATTGACTGTTAAGTTAGTGAATGTTCTATTCCCTAAGCCCAGTATAATGAGTGTAAACAACTTAGTTAAATATACATATTGCAATGTTTTAACTGTTAGATTCATTCGTACCCTCTGCTTCTGACCAATAAATAATGAATCATCATTCGGTTAAAAACTAATTTTAATTGATAAAATTATCTATTTTAATCTATTAGTCAAAATCATTATTTATAAACTTGCTTTCAATGAAAGGCTTTTTCTTATCAACTCACTATAACAAATAATCATAGCTTATTGTAAGTAAAAATTACAAGTCTATTTGTTTAAGTTGGTCATCAGTGAAATTCATTTTCTAAGTAACGATTTTCATGTACTGAGCTTGAAACCATACTTTGTTAAAGTGGTGTCGGTAATGCTTGCCTCCTTAAGCCAAATTAGTTGAGGTGGGTTTAGAATCTGCTGCCTACCCGTTTGAAAGTCGTCTGTTTTAATCATTAGCCTGTCAATTACTTGATTAGTCATCATGAATTAACCTGTTAAATAAACCAATGATTAGAAAGATTATGTAATAATAATGAGCATAAAATTTTGAAGTACGTGATCGATCTACTTGCTTGCTAAAAAAGCAAACGAGCTGTTATTAAAGTGGTTTAGATTTGTAGCTCAGGCGGGTGATTTAGATGGAGTTTTGTTCTCTGAGCCGGATGATGTGGTCGTGGAGCTTTCACGGTTCTCCCGAACAATAACAGGAGCATAAACTTCAGGTAGAAGCGAAGTATCCTAATTTCTCCACATACGACTCACAGCTCGTCCTGTCAACCTCGATCTTGATTGGTTATTGTTGACTTTAACTTGTCATTGTTTATCTCTTTGTTTTGATTGTATATCCCTTTGATCTGATTCTTTATCCTACATTTGTCTGTTGTTTTATGATTGGTTGATAGATTGGGTTGATTTTAATGTTTATTGACTGCTGATTGACCTGAGTGCCAAGCTTCTAAAAATTATCCGGTGCTTTTAATATTCCCTCTATCCAAGATCTCGACATTTTTCCAATCGAATTTGTATCCTCAGTTGTCTACATGCATTGATATAAGCGAAGATATGTCATGGCGTTTGGTTGTTAATTAATGTTTATGCAGGCGAAGATGAAGGGGCGTCCACTCTGTCCGATATAGTGTTTTTCGCTGTTGGATCAGTTTGTTTTTTGTAGGTAATGTCCGATTTTTCTTCTTTTGTCATTTCGTCCTTTGGTTTGCATAGGATTGGTTAGGGTGTTTTTACTGGTTTGTGTGCTACACCTATTCCAAACGGCTTCAATAATCCTTTGATTTCTGATGTCTTTTACATATGATTGGATGATCCGTTTGTTGGTTTCTGTGTTTCATTTCTCTTCTGATGATGAGTTGGGTTGATATTTCTTTGATGAATTTGCGTGGGTGGTTATTCTTTGGAATAATAGTCACTAGATATTTTTTCCGCGCCGCAAGTGTGCTACAATGTGTTTCCACCTTTTTGAATAAGGCGTGTACGCAGTTGATTTTGTGAGTTCTTGTGTTGGTACTAGCGTAATTGGGGATTTGCCCTGCGTAGGTCGGCCATATCCTAGAAAAACCAAAAACGTTGATTAATTTATAAGATGGGCGACTTCGAGTACAAATCCAGTTTAGTATGGAACAGGCATTCATGAAAAATAATTATAGGAAATTTGACGAAGTAATTATCCAGTCAATCAATAAGATAGAAACAAAATCTTAAAAAGGAATTTTGTTTATTTAGGTTTATTGAAATGTAGTGGTCGTAATAAACAAAGAAAGGAGCTGTGACCAGTGCAATCCAATGCTGTTAAAAGCAAGCAGCTTGCAACAAATATCATAAGATGATATTCGAATAGTGTTTGCAGATTGCCTGAAAATAGTAACATACACCATTTAATACCAACTCAGTAATCTAAAAGTTAGATACTCGCCACCAGTTCTGGGCTCGATTCCTGACGTGTTTGTAAGTGAAAATTGCTAGGAAGTACCGTGCTAGGATAAAACAGCTGTTCAACCCTTTCTTGTGTTTTTTTTAATTAGTTGTCTTTCTTCAGTCAGTTCATGATGTAAAGTCATCTGATGTCAGGGATGCATGAAAATTCATTTTAGTAGACGTATAATAATTATCGATCCTACTAAAGATTAACTTACCTTTGGGTTTAGGAAGCTGGATATTAGTATCGCTACATTTTTCATAAATAGTTTGTTTCAAAGTCAAGTTTTCACTTGTGATATATTTCTGTACCACTTAAATTATTTCACAACTCCAACTTCAATACAATAAATGAGATTACTTCTATCCTTTTCTTGCCTACCCACTTTTCTACAGTAAAATGTCCAGTTATTGTGTAAAAGCTTTGTTGATCGAGACCCTAGAAGAAATTAATTCACATTCAATTTTATTCGATTATCACAGAACTTATAATCATAGTGAATGAGTCGATGGAATTATAAAAAAAAACACATCGAAAATCAATAAACAAAGTTCACCCTGAATAAATTCATTGAAATAAAGTTGAAATTTCACCAAATGAAAATCACCTTAAATCGATATACGAATTTTGAAGTTGATTTCCTTTTTTATACGTTATATTTAAAAGATTCTATATCTCCCCAACAATAAATTATATTATCAGAAGAGGGTTTTGTGGAGATTTTAATAATTTTATATAGTTGAGATCATGAGTCAATTGAAGCTAGACCACCATGGAAAATCTGGAAGCATTGGACGGCCATTTCGTCCTATTATGGGGACTCCCTATCAGTGCGCATCCACGATCCTGCCTCACGAGATTCGAACCTAGGGCCTATCAGTCTCGCGCGCGAGCGCTTAACCTCTAGACCACTGAGTCGATATCCAATGGTGTCAATGTCTAACTTCAACCAATCCACGAAATTGAGCAACCATTCACTAACGTCTTCAGTGAGTCGATATCTCGCAATAGACCTGGTTGAACTCCACTGGTTACTGCGCTCGCGCTCGAGACTGATAGGTCCCGGGTTCGAATCTCGCGAGGCGGGGTCGTGGATGCACACTGCTGAGGAGTCCCACAATGGGACAAGACGGCCGTCCAGTGCTTTCAGGTTTTCCATGGTGGTCTAGCTTCAATTGACTCATGATCTCAAATGTATAAAATTACTAAAAATCTCCACAAAACCGCCTTCTAACTAAAGTTTAGTTTAATATCTTTGACTTTTGTTATCACTTGCAACTGTATTGAATACCTAGTTTGGTTATTGCAAAACTAACTATTAATCATTTTTGATTGACGTCCTTTTGATTCCCACTTTTATAAGAGTTGTCCATATTGAAGCTCTCCCTTACTGACATAAATCCTTTTATTGCTCACCATTTGGGGTTCACTCTTATTGGGATACACTGACTCAAACTCCAAGATTTGGCGGCCTGCTTGAATACCTGGTCTACCTGTTTCTGCCATCTAAATATTTCAACAAGTTATCTGGGTTTTTTAAAAATTGGTTTTAACCTATCATTATGTCTCTTAATCGCATAACCTATACAGGCGCGTTTATGAAAAGCTTACGTCCTTTCGCTGCAAAAATTACAAACAAGTACAATAAGAGATATCGTTGTGGTTGGCAATATGCTTTAAAGAGAATAAACATTAATCAAATGTCGATTCCCGAGCTGCTTAACTCTAACTGTCGATCACTAATTAACAAGGTGGACTATCTCCAATTTCTGCTAAGTCAAAACATGTATCGTAATTGTGGTGTCATCACAATTCAAGAAATTTGGTTAACTGACTTACAGGATAATTGCTTAGTATCATTACGTGATTTTAATATCTATCGTCAGGATCGATCAAACAATAAAAGGACCTGCGGTGGCGGAGTAGCTACTTTTGTGAACGTTAACTGGTGTCGATCTAATTTTACCTGTTTCAAGTTTTCAAATGACTTTATTGACTGTCTAACTTTAAGGTGCCGTCCAAAACACCTGAATAAATACAAATATATTTATGTTACCAATATCTACATGACCCCAGACTGCACATCATCTGCGCTATCTGTCTTCGCTGATAAATTTACTGAATTCGCTGTTACTGCCTTCAGTGATTCACTTTCAATTGTATGTGGTGATTTCAATTCATGTGACTGTAGCTTCCTTACATTACTAGGTCACATAAATGTAGTAGATTTTCCTACTCTTTTGAATGCTCATCTAGACTTGGTTTTCATTAATGATGTGGGTACCTATGTGACTCGCAAACGTGCTCTTTTGTCTAGTTCGGATCACTGTATAATTCGTGTCCTACCTAAAGTATATGGTAAACATGGAAAGAGTACACACATACACCATACCAAAAAAGTAATATATATGAATTACTCAGAAGAAAATTTACAAAATCTGAAAAACATGTTTCGTACGACCAACTGGGAAGTATTTACAGATTACTCAATAAAAAGCACAACGGATGTTATCACCTGTTATCTTAAATTCTGTTTTGATATTTGCTGTCCTACCGACCGTTGCTGCTACCTTGACGTGGTGGTCGGGCTTGCCTATCGTGATGATCCAATCGAGCTATGCTGGCTGGAACAATCGTTCCTCAAGGTCCTACCATGCCAGACAGGTCGGTTGAAGAGCGGTGAGACTAAAAGCAGCAATCCCAAGGTCCGAAGGCGAAGTCGTACTGCTGACTGTACAGAGGTGTGAAAGCAGTAAGGTGTTTCCTTCAGACAACCAGCATGACAGCGATGCTGCCTTCCCACAAGGAGGGGTGCGGTTAGAAAAGGTCGACCCTAAAAATGCACACCTCGCCTTATCCCACGGATTTCCGTCTCCTGCGGTAAGGACTTTTGAAGAACGGAGCTAACACATCAAAAATCCCCCACAAAAAGGCCGTGCGTGACCGGCCTCAAGCAGATGTCCCTTGGGCACTGCGGTCACGCTCCCAGGTCGTTAAGACCAACACT